CTACTATATTTCATCCTTACCAGTTTACGTTTAATTAGTTGTTTTTTCTTTCCTTGCGTGCAAGCTTCCATCTTCATTTTCTTACATCTAGTGAATATATATTATAAAGATGGTAACTCGTGATAAGCGAATACCAACGAAAACTCGTGGCAAGATAAAAATATATATGAAAGAACATCAATAGAAATATTTTTTTCTTTTGAAACACTACATTTTGAACATCAATACCAATAAATTATCTAGAAGACATGAGAGAGGGAGTTAATAAATCTACATATTTGATTAAAGAAACTATATATAGTCTATTTTCAAAAATGAAATTTACTTAATTAATGCCATGTCTAAGTGTATACATACATTTTTTGTTCGCTCTAAAGAACACTATTTCTTGCATAATGTTAAATATTACTTCAACAAGTTTTTCCCTGAACAAAAGGTTACTTCACTAACTTTGAACTACAAATGCTAACTTGAAATTCTTTTAAAGATAAAAACATGTCACCTATTAACAGAGAAAAGTAAAATTTGTTATAAAATATCATGAAATCTTTTTCGCTTTTATTATCATCTTTTATTTGTCTCTAGTGGTCTATTGTTATTCGTAGTTCTGTATTTTAATCATTCTTTTACTCCCGTTTATTAAATTCAACAAAATATCCTTTAGAAAAAGGGAAATTACCATGACAAGTACCGAGGAGAGAAAGAATGCATCTCACAGGCACGTTACAATTACTTGCGTCTCTACTAACGTTTAATTTCACGCACATGGACTCAGAACGGTCATACGACTCATACCACACTCTTCATTAATTTCAGTCGACATAACTTTCCTTTTTTATGAATTGAGTTTCTCTATAAGATACGCCCAATTTTAACTTATATTTACGCGTCAAATGATCATATGCATTTACGTATGATTCTATCTTCTTTTTGTTTGTCGGGACAAATAACAGTTGTGAGATTCAAGTTGATCGAGACCAGGCATGTCCAAGGAGAAGCAACTCAATTAACTAATAAACAATAAAAATTTAGACATATAAGAACTGTTGAATTTGTCGGGTCTATCATGCTCTCCATTAAGTAAAGGAAATATATTTAATATTCACGAAAAAGTGGTCAATATAAAATCCAAAGATTTGATTAGGGAAGTGGGAAATTGAGGAAAGATCTGAGAACGAGAATATGGGGGTCTTACCCAAAATGGATAAGGCCATAACAAGATTCGATCTAATTTAATAATACAGGAAAAGCTGTCATTGATTGATTCCCCACCCCCCTTGCGTTCTTTTGGTTTGCAAGTTGACTAGTTGACAGTATAATACTACAACATAATAAAAGGTTGGTCATATACAATGTGCATTTTAAATGTATAAACACAGAGGCAAAACAAAATAGATATATGTAGTAGTCGATCATATCTAATGGGCATCAATAATGCTCTTTATTTTTTATCTTCTCGGATTATATATTTATTTTGAAATTTGTTCTTTCTGATTTTTTTTTTTGAAAAGGGCTTTTAACATCAATCTCATATTTCTTTGGGATTTATCTAATTTTCACGGTATGTAAGTTTTAGACATGTTTCAATAGTGAATGAGGTAGAGGTTATTTCAGATAAGTCTAAAGTTAAAACTAAATAAACGAAAAGCATGAAATTTTGCGGCGGTGCTATATAGTATATATCTATCTTATTAAAACAGAAACATTAGATTTGATCTAACGTGAAAAGTTTTAGTCATCCATATGCTAATAGATATGGGGATGATTGGTTGGGCTTTAACTAGTGACTTTAGCTTTATTTTCTATCTACAACCATATAAATCACCAATCATGCTTTAACTAGTTTTTAAAGCTAAAGTCAAAAATTTTAAAAAATGGTTGTAGGAACCTCATTTTCTAAAGCAAAAAATTACTGCTGTAGGATTTCTGTAGGAATATCTTCTTTTTTTTCATTTAATTTCTACAGCTACATTAGATACAGCTACAGCTAAAATTTCTACAGACTAATTTCTACAGTAAAATTTCTACAGTTACAGTCCAACCAATCGCCCCCTATGTTAGTTTACTTTGGATCTCTACTGGTGTATCTCTTTTCTATATTGTTTTTGTCAATTCTCATTGTGTAAAACTATTTGTCTAAATGACTTAATAATACAATCCAGCGTTAAAAAAAAAAGATTGGACCTAACATTTATTTTATAAAATTTTAAATTAAATACATAGTTTTACATTATAGTTAAAAATACATTAAATCACTAATATTCCTTTCTTTATACTACTATCCATTTTTCAAACAATATATTTATTTCTTTATGCTACTATCTATGTTTCCAAACAATATACTTATTTATTTATACTACTATCCATATTTCCAAAACAACACTATCATTAATCTTATGTCCAAACAATACAAAATATTAGATCTCATCATTTTTAAGATTTTCACAATTTTCTTTCAAATTATGTAGATAAATTAAAAAAATTAAATAATATATAAAACAATGAAAATAAATTTATTTTTACAGGTTTAAATATTAAATATCAGTTAATTGGTTCGGGTTTTAGTGATCTTTTAAATATTGATATTTTTGAAAATCAAAACTGAATTATCGGATGATCGATTTAACTGTGGTCCGGTTGAATTTAAAAATAATGAATTAAATGAAAAAGTATTTTGAATGCATAAATTCTTTCAAATTACCAAAATATTTGTTAAGTTATTTATGATTTTTTCATCATAAAATATACGTGCTAGCAAAATTAAGACCAAAGTTAACTTTGAATTTGACATAACCTATAAAATAAAGGTTAAGGCAAAAAATTCTAGAAATTTGTATATTATTTTAATTTTTTGGATAATTATTAACATTAGAAGTAATTAAACTCTCAAATTATTTTTTTAAATGCACAATTACATCTACATAATACACTGCTTGACACTATTAATACAAAATACAGTTTTGATATTTTTCTTTAAACATAAAATTGATTTAGACAAACTCAAAACTATATAAAACTAAATTATATAAAGTACATCCAAAAAAAATAAAATATGTGCATCCGTGTGGGTCATGATCCAGTATTTATTTATTTTTAAGTAAAAGGTATATTAATTTATCTAAGTTTAACGGTGTATAAGTTGTAGGCATGTTTTCCATAGTAATTGTGAGAGGTTCTCTCAGATAGTCTGAAGTTAAAATAAATAAACGAAAGACAAAGAAATAAACAAAAGTATGAAATTTAGAGGTCGTGTTAATCCAATTTTGTGGCTTAGCCTCAAAAACACTAATTCGTAAGCCATAGCCCACCACGGCCCATCATTAGCAACAACCCAATCTCCTCTAGACATATGAAGACAGATAAATATGTGTTTCAGGTAAGATCAAAAGCCAGTGGCATATGAATCGTGTGTTTGTTACACTTTAATTAGTATTTCATCACTAAAATTCCCTCCCCTAAGTTGAATCGATCGTTAGAATAGTTTATATTCTTGTCAACTTTATATTCTTTTTGATTTTAATGATTGAGATGGAGAGAGTGAATAAGCAAGAAAATGGGACGAGTGGATGACATGTAGATTGATGCTGGAAGCGATCAACGATGAGCTCCATGGAAGTAGAACAAGCCCATATCTCTTTCTTTGTTTTAAATTAGTTTACTACTAGCTACTTTAATCAACTCCAAGAGATTAAATTTCTTTATGATGCAAAACCTAAAGGACATCAGGATGTGAAGCTGAGAGCTTGGAGCACTAATTCTTTGGATGCAATTGTTGCTTAAAGCGGCTCTTTATATATTAGGCTTAAAGGAAGAAGGGTAACTAATAGTTACAAAAATTGATATTTGATAGTTTACATTCACCAGGAAAGCTTTGTTATGGTTCAGTAATATTCAACGTGAAAGAGGAGTCAGCATGTTGTGGCAACGTGGGTTCATAGTTTAGTCATTAGTATTGTAGTTTTGGGTCAGACATATTGTTTGTTTATTTTTACTAATGAATATTCGGTTTTAGTTCTGATGTTGTTAGTGATATTTTTTTTTATATAAACCTATTTGTATTCTCTTAGTAATTCTGATATATACAACGCATCATTTGAATATTAATCTGGATAGTAATATATCATATACTAACACGAATCATATGATACATGTGATGGTCAAGTAAGTGTTATCAATTTCTATCCAAGTGACTTTGGGAAATATAAATACAAACCTTTCTTTTAGGAATAAATAAGTAAACAACTTACTAGTAATAGAAACCATATGCTACTGAACTTACAGTTTATATCTTACACAGATCAATTAATGTATGACTTCAAATGATACAAGTTTGTAGTGGCGTTTCAATGAGGAAGGTTGCCCCACGCACATGAGAGCTCCTTAACTTTAACAAAACAAACACAAATGGCACGACACAAGTTTAGTGGAATTTAGTACCTCGTGTTCGTACTAGTCCGTAGCCTCTTCTTTCTTTTTCCCAACAGTTGTCGGATAATGAGATCTAATAAGCAATCGCTGTTGTGACAAAGAAGAGCAAAAATAAGAGGGTGCAGGTCTCTTGTTTCAGCAACAACATTTATTTCCCCCCCCCCTCAGCATTTATGAAATTAGAAAGTTGTCTTTTATTTTTTTTAAGACGACTGATGATGATGTTTTTGACCGATCTACAATTCTACATTGTATAAAGAAGTCTTAATTGTTTGTAAGTTTTAGAATTTATATCAACCTTACATTGAAAACCAATTGTTACAGAGAGTTTCCATGTGTTTCTAATCTCCTTTAAACTCCCCAAAAATTGGAAACAAAGAGAACCCACACTTTCCCATAGAATCAAATATTTTAAACGTCATATAGTTCATAGTTGACCAAAAAACTACTAATTCATCGTTATCAATATGTTCTAATCTACTATTATCCACAAAAACTAGTTGTCAAATTGTCATTTGATTCAACCTTTTTGATATTTTTATTTTATGCTGTCAGAAAGTTTAAATCATATGCCAAAATCGAAAATATTATTAACTAAAATATATGGTAAATTACATAAGCTGACAATACATAATTTCTCCATAAACAGAAATGCAAAAAGGAAAACATAAGCCTTACAACTTAGCTTTACAAAACGATACAAATTAAAATTTGGTAAAAACTTAATCTCAAACATCTAATATGAACCGGCAGAAAAACAATGGTAAGACATATAGGTTATGGATTCCTAAATTAGAATTCATACCAGAAATACCATAACATCCCAAACATATGAATTATACACAATGCTTTCTAGACCGATGTTGAAATAAGCATCATCAGCTACCCTTTAAAAGGAAATGCAAAACTCGAGATTCCCAGTCTAGAGTAGAACCAATCCATAATCAAGAAACGTACGAGAAAAACCAGACTAAACACGTATTTTGTATTGTCACAACAGTCCCCAATACATATATCTAGCTAGCATTAGACGCAAAATATTGACTAGTCCTTTAAAAATAAAATAAAAAATGTGAGAATCGATAATGGGGTGAGGGAAAGAGGACAAGAGACAGATAAGCAGAAAGAAAGGAGAATACACTAATTTAATTTCCTCCAGTCGACATGATATAAAATTAATTTCAAGAATTAATAAAAAGAAATCATTAATTCGCTCCACCAAATAATTTTTTTTTTTTTAAACTATGAACAAAGAAAAAAAAAACATGAATGCATTATTGGTCACTCATCTTCTTCTTCTTCTTCTTCTTGCAGATCTGAGAGAGCAAAACAACTCATAGACTTCATTGCTCTGTTCTTAAACGATGGTCTCCTTGCAACAACAACTCCTCCTCGTTCTTCATCGCTCAGATCTCCATCGTCTCCTTCATCCTCATCGTCATCATCATCATTTTCATGAACAGGCAAAAGAGGCATAGACTTAGGGTTTTGCCACGAGTAGAAAGACTTTCTTGCAAGCTTTTTACAGATCTGTAACCTTCTTTTTCTATTCAATGGATTCTCTTGCTTTGGTACTTCTTTCACACTACCAATCTCCCCTAAGTTCCCAAACGATTTTGATTTCCCTTTGTAGTGACTCGATAAACCATTTCTTGATTTAAAATCAAGAAACCTAATTAGTTCTTTTTTCACTATAAAACATTATTTATTTTTTGAGTAAAATGAAACTTACTTGCTTGGGAGAGAATCTTGAAGAGAGCGCATTGAAGCTAACCCTAACTCTTTGTCATTTTCTTCTTCTTCTTCACTGTCTCCAGGAGTTCCTATAGATGAAGAACTCTCCGACGAGTAATCCACCGTTCTTTCTGACCATAAACCGGCTCCCTCATCGTTTGGTGTATCCTCGGAAAAAAAGGAGGAAGAAGCCTTCTCCGTCGCTGAGAGGTTGCTTCTGTATTCCGAGATCTCGAGTGAGAACGTTGGTCCTACTCCTGTCATTACCGTATCTCTAGATCACAAGACCAGGACTTAACTTCTTACCAGTTTGGTCGGATATCACGGTTTGAAAGTCTTCACTTCTAAGTTTTTGTCTCATCAACTTCTTGGTTCGATCCTCAAGATCAAATCACAGACTCATAGAATAGTATGAATCAAAATGGCAGGGGAGAGAGAGAGAGAGAGAGAGAGAGAAAGAGAGAGAGAGAGAGAGAGAGAGAGAGAGGATAAGGTTTTTATTTACTTAAATTTTAGTCGATAAAGACGATGACTGTATAATATATAGTATTAATATGATTATATTATACATACAACTGTAGATTAGTGCCTCTTGGTCCAAGTCATTTTGTCGTTTGGGAAAAAATGGTTCGACTGGTATTATATAAAATTATAAAAGAGAGAGGCTCCATGGAAAATTAATTATGTTTTTTTTTTGTCAACCAATGAAAACTGTTTTTGAATATACATGATACATTGTTTAACAGAAAAAGAAGTTACAAGTTGATCATATTGCCAAATTTCTTTTTATAAAGGGTAAAAGTTGATATCTTATCCTTTATAAATAAGAATGATTCTATAATATATTTGTGTTATTTGAGATATGTAGAATCATTGTTGTTTTGTTTGAAAATATATGTATTTGAATTGTGACAACCCTGCTAACCCTTCCATTATTTAATGTTCTTAAAACAATCTAAAAGAGTGGTTGAGTTGGTCACAACTCAACTAAGTTAAAAGGAAACGAATAATTCCTTGTGAGTATTTATTTGAACATGCATTGCCTACATACCATATATCAATTCAACTGAAATTATTATCCAACAATATAAAATAATCTTTCGGAGCTTTAACGTTTTCTTTTCTTTCTTTCCAAAACAAAATATAATCGCTTACAACAATAGATTTTAGAATCTTTTTATTAATGTCAAAATATATATACATAAAGACTGACCCCTACACAAAATTTTGATCTATTTATGGTATGATGCCAATATGAGGCATCACCAGTTCCAATTAAATTAAAGAGACTGGCGACACTCTATATACGATCATTTATCTATTTGCTAATTCACGGTAGTAACGAAGTAAGCGGTGATGGAGATTCACAGAAACTGAAATCCTCCGTTTCTTTGTTGAGGGAAGAAGCCGAAGAAAATATCACAGCCTTCGTTGGAGAAAAACCCTCCTCTAAGACCAAATAAGAGACCAAGAAGGCAAGAACTGTTGAAAAGCACATGAATGTAGTGTTTCCTTCCCTCTTTCCCTCTATAATACAATCAATGTTAGCTTGCTCTGCTGCTTAACATTTTCGTTCCTGGTTGCTGGCTGACTCTATTTCCCGGATTGTGGCAAGCGGAGGAAGTAACATAGGCTCTTAAGAAGCCCTTAAGGTGGCGGAAGCATGATCAATTAAAGGTGTGATTCCTAGCCTCCTTGGTTTCTTCAATTTTTTTTTTTTAAACTTTGTTTGGTTTCTTCAATTTATTATCTACAAATGTCTTTGTGTTCTACTGTTGAATTTTTTCAGTTGTAAAAATGAAGAACAATATAGCAATGTCCCCATTTTTAGTAAATGAAAATGTAATCTCCATGGCAATGTCATCTTCATGTACTTTGAATCTTCTCTTTGTTTTTGTAAAAGTGACGAGTGGTGTTTTTGTTTCCAAAGCTAATTGTATACTCCAACTGTTTTTTTTTTTGTTAACAATAATACAGCTCTCTACAACTTTCTCTCATGTTCCTTACTTAATATTCTGGTTGGCTACAATGTATGTTGCTAAGATTATGTAAAATTTTGTTCTTTTATTAAAGAGAGGATGTCCTCTCTTTTTTTTGACAACAAGAGACGACGTTTATTAGTTTAATTCTAGCAAACCTATATAACACAATTATCCAATAAAATATAGTCTCATATACAACAAAAATATGTACACAAGAAAACACACAAATAAATACATGTAACAAATTATTTGATGGTATTAATCTTCAATCACCATCACTACCATTGAATAGCCATATAATCATTAACTATTATTGATATAGATAAATTGATAGCTTAATAATATGCTTGAAATTATATATATAATTTATTAGTTTGAAGTATAATCAGAATATTAATAACTAAAAATAAATTGTTTAGATGTTTATATATAATAAACAAATTTCATTAAACGAGGGCAATGTTAAAAATTATTTTCTATAAATTAATAAGTATCGTTTAAGAAATTTATTCAGTATCATATATAACTTACAAAAACAATGATAAAATAAATAGTGACTTTTTATAAAACAATAGTGAAAATTAATGTTACATATTATTGAGAATAATTTAAATCTCATTTTATTTCTAAGACTACTAAATAAAAGCTCAACCATAATTTTAATATTGATATGAAACTGAAAATATATATACTTGCATATTCCAACAAAAGACACAATGTACAATAACCCGATAATAAACAAAAAATGACAGAAACGAAATTAAATAACTTATACTAAAACAAAGAAATTAAAATTATTTTTTGAAGCATAATTAAAATAAAACACAATTTCATTAATAATTGTAACAATCGTCTTAGAAAATGAAATCAACCCTCAACATTTACTGACTTCAGTTCTCCTACAACAAACAAATCAAACGAAAAAATATTTTTTTTAGAAAAAATTACAAAATAAAATTTAATACGAAATCAAAATCAAATCATTTAAAATAAATACAAATGTTAAAATAAAATATATTGGAACAAATTTCCTTAGTTAATATCATATTTTAATTTGTCTTGCTATATTTTTAAAAAATATTTATTTAAAATATATTAAAAATGTATTAAAAATCTATTCGATTCTAGAAAAGCAAATATTGTAAAAAGTAACATATTTATATTTTTAATGAACTATTATAATATAAAAAAAAATATAGAATATCTAAAAAAGAAGAAACAGAAAAATTTGTAGTAAAAATGAAAATTATAATAAACTAAAATTTTATTAAAATTTAAAAAATATTTATATTGTTTATCTAAATAAAATATATTTATATTGTTTCGTTCATTTGCTTACCCGCCAGTAGGGCGGGTCCGACTCTAATCGGTTACTATAATCGAACAATTAGGTGTTTTGCAAAGAATTACCACATGAAAACAATGATCATCATTTAGGTATTTGGTAGGTTTAATAATTTTATCAATAATTATATTATCAATTCAAACATATTAGAATAATTATTTCATTCTTTTGCAATATTTACTAATTAATTAAATATCAATCTTTTTATATATGACAAAGTTTTATTATGTTTAAAAAATATATTTTATTATGTAAAATAAACTTGTAAACATTCATATGTATATACATAAAATATATATACATGGATACATATATTTATTTGTAAAATATTATGATGTAAAATTGTTTGGTTAACATAATACATACTATTTTTAGATAATGATGATTATTAAACTAATGAAATTTGTTTTCTTATGTATGGTTTTTTAACAAAATTTAAACACTTTAACTTATAATTTGAGAGCAAAAAATCACTTTGCAATAATAATAGAAATAATTTTGAATTCTTTGGCAATTTCTTTCCAGAAATTGTCACAATGAATGATTTTGGTTATTCCTATAAAAATTATTTTAAAAAATAGAGTCAGTTTAATATCACTAAACCTAATATAATATAAAATTCAAAAAGATTTGAATATTACTAAAATAAATATAATATAAATTTAATTTTATATTATCGTTATAGTTTTTTTAATTATCCTGAAAATGATAAAGAATCAGATAAATCACTAAAATTATTTATTAAATTTAGTTGTGCATAAAATAGAATTAATCCGGCTTCTCGGTTTTCAGCATTTCCCGCATACCCAGGTCTAGGAATTTACGTGCAGATTCTCTTGCCAAAGAGGCAAGAAATAGCGGTACCCTTTTTTCCCATATAGATCAGACCCAGCCAGACAGAGCGTCTCTTCGGAACGTCTCAGACTCGCTTACCACTTGATCTTCGAAGATGGGAGTCAACAAAAAAAAAATAGAATTAAACCTAAAATTATGGAAGACATGATAAATCAAGAAATTCACTTATCAAATAATTGTAAAGATTAGTCAATGTTGGAGAAAATATAAAAAAATTAGAGATATAATTAGATCTGGCTTGGATTTGATACACAACACAAATATATCTTTCTAAAAAAGTATACACATATATAAATTCAATATCTTTTTTTTATTCTCCGATTTTGAAAATAGACAGTTTTTATCAACCTAAAATGGAGTTCTCAAAGAATAATATGACAAAATGAAAAAAAAATCATGGTCTTTCAGCATCGGAAACTAGCAAGTACAAAAATCAATGATGACACATTATATACGAAGTAATTTTCTTTTAGTAAAAAAATCGAACTTCTGAATATAGATAAAAGTGAGCCAAAAAAGAATAAAGGTACAAAATCAAGCAAGCAATAATCAACTACCCATTAGTTTATTTTTGAAAATCAAGTATATAATGTATTTCTAAATTTTATTGAGTTTCAAAACTATCTATTTACCTTTTGCTAATTTATAAAAATTATCTCAATTTTGGGGACAAAAACATAATCATATGGGCAACTAAATTAATGAATTAAAAATACTAAATTGTATATAGATTAATGTTTGAAAGATATATTCAAAGCAACATATCACTGAAAAAGAGTTATCTATGAAACTGAAAACTTTGAGTTTATAGTCAAAGTGTTTTAAAAACTCATTGTATTTACTATTGAGTTTTTATGCGTTGGTCCATATATCTTCCCCAAAACACACACAAAAAAATGTCGAAGGAGAAAGTATCTGCGCGATACAAATGGGGATGAGGGTTTCGGGTGATTTATGTTGATTGTCTCCCAAGTGCAGGTGATTTCATTTCTTAAACATATAATCATTGTTCTTTTGATTTCGTATCTGCTAAACTGAGCACTGTTTTATGTTCTTTTTGAAACAAAATATATGTGTGCTTCTAGAGAACAACAAATTGATTGAATCCGAGAAACAATATACTGAAAATCAGTGTTCATATATCAGATTTCTATGTTATAGCCTTGAACAGCATTGTCAATGACATAAAACAGAGGTCAGTTTTACAATCTTGTATAACTATGTTTCTCGAATTTGACTTCAGGTTATCGATTTGTATCCGAGTTATATTTAATCAAC